GATAGATTTTGCACAATAAGACTTTCTCTATTAACTATAGATCCAATGTGTATGTCAGACTATGTCAATCTCAATCAACTGAGGCCTGAAAATCCTTTATTAACAATTTAGTGGATTTGTTAACAAAAATTTGAGTCGATAGAGGAACTTTAATGAAATTGTAGAAACGTCGATATATGTGAATCTGGATTGCTCGAAATATTTAGCGTAAAGAAAAATATCGTAGAAAAGGACGAGGTAAAATAACGGATGTGAATTTAGGGCAATTTGAAGGCTAAAGGCATTAAATGTCATATAAATGCTCCATTCTAAAAAGGTCACAATGTCATATCACAACGTCTTCATCTATAAACCAGGCTTCGCCATAGCAGTAACGACAGCTGCGACAAAAGCGATTTATTTCTTCATCACAGCAAGTTTGACTGAAAGTATATACCAGCAAAATAGGAAATGTAGTATCCACTAGTAGTAGCGAAGCAAACTCAATATGAAAATAATACACCATGCTCATGCTATGCTAAGAGGACTTCAACGTCAAACGAATCTTCTGACTTCGTCCTTAGAGTGCTTGGTAGTAGGATTGAATATCATCTCATTCAACAAAAACGATATTAGCTAATCGGATTCTCTATAAATCCAGACAATGAGATTAACATAAAATAGTGAATACGACATAAAATAGCTCTTACTCATCCCATCTAGTGTGGAGAACAGCTTCCAAGTTTTTAATATCAAGGAAATTCAAATGACACAATGGCATATAGAAGTGATAAGACCTACGATCCAAACTTCGCATACGATATCAAGCCAGCAATCAACAAAACCAATTATTCAAAAATAAAGCCTACTTATTAAGCCACTTGAATCAGGAGGAATCAGGACGAAGATAAGTGGATTTGCCTGTCCGCATCAGAGCTGAGCCATCAATTGTGACCGAGGAATTAGACAAACTGACACGGATTTGTCTTAGTAATGGATACCCCAGAGAATTTATAGAGAAAAA